AAAAAAAAAAAAAACAACTCTTGGGCAAATCACACCAATATACAATCACCAATTAAATATAAATATAATGACATCAAAATGTCTCTGAGACAACAGACCATCACAGTTCACACAAAGAAGCAAGATAAAGTAGTAGAAACAAGGGACCAGGATACAGACCCAGAAAACATCCCTGAGGAAGAATTACCATTGGAAGTCCCTGATAAGGAATTCAAAATAAATGTATTTAGGTACCTGTAATGGATTGAAAAACAGATCAAGAAAAACTACAATTAAGGAAAACACAGACAAAACCCTAGAAAAATTTGGGAAGACACTACAAGAACAAAATGACAAAATAAACAAAATACTAGAAATAGTACAAAATCTATAGAAATCCAGAAGATTAACCAAAATTTCAGAAATAGGTAACAAAATGAACAGGTAGAGAAGTAGAACTGAATCACTGGAAGACAAATTTAGTGAGACTGATGATAAATACACTTACATCAGGTAGATACACTCCTTAGAATAATCAATCATGGGAAAACAGAAAGGCAGCATCTGCACAGGGAGAGAGCTCAGGGGGCAAGAATTCACAGGAAAGAAGGACACAGGGAAGAGGTCACTATAGGGAGGAAGTGGGAAGAGAGCTGTTACATTGTGGGGATTGCAGTCAATGTCATGAAACAAAATGTGTATGAACTACTGTATGGAAAACGAAATTGCTCTGTAAACTTTCACCCAAATCATAAAAAAAATAGTATTTCATAATATGTGAAAATTACATGAAATTCAAATTTCAGTGTTCATAAATAAAGTTTTATTGGCACATAGCCACACCCATTTGTTTATGTATGTGGATGACTGCTGTTGCACTATCACAGCAGAACTGAGAGCTGTGACAGATACCATATGGCCACACACCTCAACATTTACCATCTGGCCCTATTCTGTAAAAGTTGACCAGCCCTGCTCTAGAATAATGTTGCAGCTGATAACATATCTCAACCTGGATTTAAGAATCATTGTAAATATTTTTAAAAAATGAGAAAAGATGGTTTATGAAATCACAAAGTGGTACATATTTGGCATTTAATTTTAAGTTTTGTTGCAGAAGGCACTTCTCACTACTTTTCCCTTTGCAAACTGTGCCCCCAACTTCCCTGGTTTCTTTACATTCTTCAACTTGGCAGGCACAGCCCTTCCTTGAGGCCTGAGCACAAGCAACCATTCCTTCCACCTGCAGGGCTCTTACCCCACAAACCTAGAGTCCTACTTCCCTCACTACCTTACGTCTATGGCCAAATGTGACCTCCTCACTGATTTCAAATAGTCAATTTGAAAATTCAGCCAGCCACCCTGTCACACTCCAAAATCTTTCTCCTACTCTATTTTACTAATAGTGTTTTACTTTATAGCACTTGTCACCTTTTACCATACCGTATTCTAATATCTTTCTATATATGTTCACTGTTTGTTGTCTGTCTCCTTACACAAAGATAAGCCCAGTGAGGACAGGGATTTCTATTCCATTTACTAATAAGTTCTGAGTGTCCAGAACATTATCTGGCACATAAAACCAAAAACAAAATTCACTGTCGTTGAGTTGATTTTGACTCATAGCAACCCCTCCTTGGGTTTCCGAGGGGGTATCATTACAGAAGTAGATTGCCCAAACTTCCTTCTGAGGAGTGGCTGGTGGGTTTGAACCGCCAGCCTTGGCTAGCAGTCAAATGCCTTCAGCACTACGCCACCAGACCTCCTATCTGGCATATAGTCAAAACAAAACAAAACCTAAACTCGTTCCTATCAAGTTAATTCTGACTCACAGCCACCCCATGTGTTCAAGAGTAGAACTGCTCCAAACGGTTTATTCTTTGCCTATTTATTTTATTTTCTCAATACATTTAATTTGCTATGACCTTTAGGGAAGCAGATTGCAAGGGCTTTCTTCTGTGGAGACAATGGATAGGTTTGACCCACCAACCTTCAGGTTAATAACTGAGTCCAAACTGCTGGGACCACCCAGAACCATTGACAAGATAGAAAATGAAAAACAAAGAAACTCATTGCCTCTTATGCATGTAAGAGCTGGACAATGAATAAGGAAGACCGAAGAAGAGTTGATGCTTTGGAGTCGCAGTGTTGGAGAAGAATGCTAAGAGTATCATGGATTGCTAAGATGACTAACAAACACTAGGGAATTGCTGTAGATGCTTACTCATAGTGCTCCTAGTGGACAGAGTAGAACTGCTCCATAGGGTTCCCAAGGCTGGTTATAGAAGCAAAGCCTAAACCAAACCCACTGCTGTTGCATCTATTCCGACCGATAGCACCCACAGAGGACAGAGGAGAACTGCTCCATTAGGTTCCAAGGCTATAAATCTCAACGGAAGCAAACCCCAAACCAAATCCACTGCCAGAGTTCATTGCGACTCACAGTGCCCCTAGAGGAGAGAGTAGAACTACCCCATAGGCTTTCCAAGGCTGGAGATATTGATGGAAACAAAGCCCAAACCACACCCACTGCCGTGGAGTGGATTCTGACTCACAGCGCCCCTAGAGCACAGAGTGGAACTGCCCCATAGAGTTTCCTAGGCAGTCAGCTTGATGGAAACAAAGCCCAAAACAAACTCACCACTGTTGAGCCACTTCTGACTCACAGCACCCCTACATGACAGAGTAAAAATGACCCATAGGGTTTCCAAGGCAGCATATCTTTATGGAAGCTGACTGCCACATACTTCTCCCAAGGAGTGCCTGGTGAATTACAACAGCCAATCTTTCGGTTAGCAGCCAAGTGCTTATCTATTCCGCCACCAGGGCTCCTGTAGTGCACAGTAGGTGGTAAGTATCTACTGAATTAATGAGGGAAAGAGCACGACCTCACCCAACGACAGCAGATGCCTATACATCTCCAGCATCACCTCCTTGTACAGGTTCTTCTGCTCACAGCTCAGGCTCTTCCATTCCGCCTCCGTGAAGATCACAGTGACGTCTTCGAACGTAACTGGTTCCTGGAAGAGGCAGGAAATCAGCGCACAGCAAATCACCATCCATCGTCCCAAGGGGAGGAGCTGCACTGGTGCCCTACAGAGTCTGCATCTGAAGCAGCTCATCTCCTTCTCTTCACAGAACACAGTTCTCATATCAACTTCTTCTGGACACGACTGTACACCTGGCTTTGTGACAGAATCTGTGGGGAGCACGAGGGATGCACAAAACACATCCTGGCCTTTAAACCTGATGACTTCACTGGAGGAAGGATTTGTGAATCAACCTAAAAGCACTAAGCTGTTGTCGTTAGGTGCCCTTGAGTCGTCTCCAACTCAAAGCGACCCTATGCACAGCAGAATGAAACAATGCTCGGTTCCGCGCCAGCTCCGCAATCCCTGCTATACTTGAGTCCATCACCACTGCCACTGTGTCAATCCACCTTGTTGAGAGCCTTCCCCTCTTTCATTGACCCTCCACCTTACCAAGCAAGACATCCTTCTCCAGGGAATGGTCCCTTCTGACAACATGACCAAAGTATGTAAGACGAAGTCTGGCCATTCTCGCTTCCAAGGAGCATTCCGGCTGCACTTCCTCCAAGACAGATTTGTTAGTTCTTTTAGCAGTCCATAGTATTTTCAGCATTCTTTGCCAGCACCACACTCAAAAGCATCGATTCTTCTTTAGTCTTCCTTCTTCACTGTTCAGCTTTCACATGCATATGAAAATACCATGGCTTGTGTCAGGTATTTTGAGGCACCTTAGTCCTCAAGGACACATCTTTGCTCTTCAGCACCTGAAAGAGGTCCTTTGCAGTCGATTTGCCCAATGCTATATGTTGTCTGATGTCCTGACTGCTGCTTCTATTGGCATTGATTGTAGAACCAAGCAATGTGAAGTCTTAGACAATTTCAATCTTTTCTCCATTTATCGTGATGCTGCTTATTGGTCCAGTTGTGAGGATTTTTGTTTTCTTTAAATCGAGGTGTAATCCATACTGCAGACTGTATTCTTCAACCTTCATTAGTAAGTGCTTCAAGTCATCCTCACTTTCAGCAAGCAAAGTTGTGTTGTCAGTATATGACAGATTGCTAATGATTCTTCCTCCAGTCTTGAAGCCACGTTCTTCTTCATATTGTCCAGCTTCTCGGATTATCTGCTCAGCATACAGATTGAATTGAATAAGTATGGTGAAAGGATACAACCCTGATGCACTTCCTTCTTGATTTTAAACCATGTAGTGTCCCCTTGTTCTGTTTGAATGACAGCCACCTGGTCTATGTACAGGTTCCTCATGAGTACAATTAAGTCTTCTGGAATTCCCACTCTTCCAATGTCAACCACAATTTGTTATGATCCACACAATCAAATGCTTTGGCATAGTCAATAAAACACAAGTAAACATATTTCTGGTATTCTATGCTTTGAGCCAAGATCCATCTGACATCAGCAATGATAGCCCTCATTCCACATCCTCTTCTGTATCCAGCTTGCACTTCTGGAAGTTCCCTGTCAATATAGTGCTACAACCATTTTTGAATTATCTTCAGTTAAGATTTTACTTGCATATGATATTAGTGATATTGTTCTATAATTTCCATATTCTGTGGGATCACTTTTCTTTGGAATGGGTACAACTATGGATCTCTTCCAATCAGTTGGCCAGGTAGCTGTCTTCCAAATGTCTTGGCACAACCATGTGGGTGTGTCCAGTGGGGCATCCATTTGTTGAAACATATCAATGGGTACTCTGTCAATTCCTGGAGTCTTGTTCTTTGCCAATTCCTTCAGTGCAGCTTCCACGTCTTCCTTCAGTACCATTAGTTCTTGAACACATGCCACCTCCTGAAATGGATGGCAACTGACTGGTTCTTTTTGGTACATCGACTCTGTGTATTCCTTCCATCTTCTTTTGATGCTTCCTGCATCATTCAGTATTTTGCACACAGAATCTTTCAATATTGCAACTCGAGGCTTAAATTTTTTCCTCAGTTCTTTCAGCTTGAGAAATGCTGAGCATGTTCTTCTCGTTTGGTTTTCTAACTCTAGGTCTTTGCACATTTCATTATAGTAACTGGCTTTGTCTGCTCGAGCTGCTCTTTGAAATCTTCTGTTCAGCTCTTTTATCTTGTCATTTCTTCCATTTGCTTTAGCTACTCTTCGCTCAAGAGCAAGTTTCAGAGTGTCTTCTGACATCCATTTTGGTCTTTTCTTTCTTTCTTTTGTCTTTTTAATGACCTCTGGGGCTTTCTTCATGCATAATGTTCTTGATATCATCCCACAATTCCTCTGGTTTCCAGTCACTGGTGTTCAATGCATCAAATCTATTCTTTACATGGTCTCTAAATTCAGGAGGAGTATATTCAAGGTCATTATTTTGACTCTCGTGGACTTGTTTTAATTATCTTCACCTTCAACATGAACTTGCATATGAGCAGTTGATTGTCTGCTCCACAATCAGTTCCTGGCCTTGTTTTGGCTGAAGATACTGAGGTTCTCCATTGTCTCTTTACACAGATGTAGTCAATCTGATCCCTGTGTACTCTGTCTGGCGAAGTCCAAGGTGTATAGTTGCCACCTGTGTTGTTGAACACAGGTATTTGCAATGAATAAGTCACTAGTCTTGCAAAATTCTATCATGCGATCTCCAGGATCATTTCTATCACCAAGGCCATATTTTCCAATTACTGGTGATTCTTCTTTGTTTCCAACTTTTGCATCCTAATCACCAGTGATAATTAACACATCTTGACTATATATCTGAGTCAATTTCAAACTGCATACGTTGGTAAAAATCTTAAATTTCTTGATCTTTGGCTTTGGCAGTTGGTGCATAAGTTTGAATAACAGTAGGTATTAACTGGTCTTCCTCGTAGGCTTGTGGATATTATCCTATCACTGATAGCACTGTACTTCAGGATAGATCTTGATACATTCATTGTGATTAAGAATGCCATGGCATTATTCTTCAATTTGTCATTCCTGACATAGTACATCACATGATCATCAGATTGAGTATGGACAAACCAGTCCATTTCGCTCACTAATGCCTAGGATATCTGCAGTGTAGTAAATTACTTAGTATGGCTTTTCTACCCATAAGTCATTGTAAACTCAGTGGTGGAATGAGCAACTGAGGAGCTGATTGTAAATGTTATCCACGTGGAGTATTTCTGTTGGGCGTGGCACAAAACAATGTTCTGGGAGATGCCCACTCTCTCTCAGGTGCTTAGAGTTCTGATGCCATAATTGGCTAGTTTGACCACCCTGCGGGCTCTAAAGGGGACCTCCTGGAGGCAGAACTCTCTCTGACTGCTGGTTGAGGAAGACGTGCTGCCGAAAGAGACACGCGGCCCTGAAAG